ATCTTTTCTCGAATCTCCTTTAACGGAAGAAATAGAAGCTCGAGAAGGAATACCAAAATCGTAACCAGGCCCGGGCGAATGTTTACCAAAAACACAGGTCTCCGCAAAGTCGTAAGACCATGAATGGGGGCTGAAGCCTGCCCAGTGCCGGAAGGTCAAGGAAGTTGGTGATCTGATGACAGGGGAGCCGGTGACCGAAGCCCCGATGAACGGAGGTCATAACTATAACGGTCCTAAGGTAGCGAAATTCCTTGTCGGGTAAGTTTCGACCCGCACAAAAGGCGTAATAATCTGGGCACTGTCTCGGAGAGAGGCTCGGTGAAATAGACATAAATGAAAAAGTCAGTTTTTTTTATAGTCGTCTCTTGCTTTATCGAAGGATTGATATAGAGAAGAAATTCCTATATTTCTAATCTAAGCCCACCTACCGCCTTCCTTCCGGAGCAATAGAACTTCTTTCTAACTTCATTCAAAAAATCGCTTTTGGATAAGGAATCAGACTTTTCTTTTATTGCTTCTTTCACTGGCATGAGCCACCTCTTCTTTTTTCTCGAGAGTAGGCACCCTAGTCTCAGAATTTGGTTCTTTGTTTTCTACCTTTTGTTAGTTTTTCGTGTGATGGCCCAGGACAAAGCGGTACTTGTGATATTTTGGTATGGGACATATTTTATTTGGCAGTTTTTTGGATGTTAAATACTATTGGATGAGTTACTTTTTATTGGAATTGGAAGCACATCACATTATGGCAGGGTAATGTTTCACAGTTTAATAAATATTCCACTTATTTGATGGGGTCAAGTGAAATTCAATTCATGAAATAATTTGATCTATGGAAAGCATCATTGTGGTAAAGGTCGTAATGCCATAGGAATCATTACTGCAAGGCATAGAGGGGAAGGTCATAAGCGTCTATACCTTAAAATACATCCCCAAGGGTTAGGCCTACTTTTTACAGGTCCATAGAATCTTTATGCTCAAAACCCCGATTCAATTAGTCATTTATTTGGTACCGCCCAAGGGGCGGGAATTGCCATTCTAACTCTTCTCGGGGGATTCCATCCACAAACGTAAAGTTTATGGTTGACTGATATTGCCCATCACCATTTAGCTATTGCATTTATTTTCTTCGTTTTTGTTCATATATGGGCTTTCGCTTTCGCTTCTCTCTAAAATTACAGTCATGGTAAAATCTTGATTTATTTAATCATCAGGGACTCCCAAGCACACGAGTTTTCTACAAATAAAAATAGAAAATAAAAGGCTTGTTATTCAATAGTATAACATGACTTATATACTTGTGTCAACCAAGGTGTATGTAGATCTATTCAAGTTTTTAATGAAGTTGATTGGAAAAATACGAATTTCTCTACAGAGAATTAGAATTTTGATATGCTAGTGGGTTGCCCGGGATTCGAACCCGGAATTAGTCGGATGGAGACATTTTTTTCTTCTCTTAACTCTTAAGTTAAGTAAAAATAATGAAATTGAACTACATATGGTAGAAAACCGTGTGAATCAAATATTTTATTGATGATTCACACGGTCCTCACGTTGGTTCATACAATGCGTCGCCCGCTCTTGTATTTGTAATAACTTGTCTTGAATTCAATTAAATATTGATGGAAAAGAACCATAATTATGTAACCCTATTCCTAATAGATTGACCCCAAAATAGCATATCCAAATTATAAGAAAGCTTATAGACGCTACAATTGCAAAATTTGCATTGAAAAAAAAAAGATAAATAGAACGAGATTTTTTTTACATGATCAAAAATCACCCGTCGATGATGAACCAGAAAAAATCAAAGTTGAATTTCTGAAAGAGTTTTTATAATGTTATACTTCAATTAAAGATCGAGTCAAAGGAGAATTTCGCTTTACAAAACTAAAATCGGAGTTGTAAACTTAAGACCTAAGGATATTTGTTTGACGGGTGATCGGATCTTAGAATCCTCAGGAAAGTATGGATAGTCAATTTAATAGAATGAAATCCGCTATTGTATGCATATTTCATTAATAGTATCATTACCGCTCATTTCTTGAAATCTCTCTTCTGATTCAAAATCATAGTGTAACGTGTATCCTCCCCTGTTCTGGTCATGGAATAGATGAAATAAATCAAAAAATATATTTTTGTTCAAAAATAAAATCTTATTGGAACTGTCCATATCCGGTTCATCCTTCGGAACCATATCACATCCCGGATCTGATGAAATGGGATAAATTGAGATGGTATTTTGTAAATACGTAATTATCTTGAATATATTAACCATTTCTTTATTTTCCGATCGCCTGGAAGGGGCAAAAGAAAGATCTTATTGTTTCTTCAACAATAAATAGTAGACACAGGTAATAAATAAGAGAATACTAAAAATCCGAGCCATAGAATTTCTCAATTCTAACACAAGGTACTTATTAGATCGAATGTATTTATTCGATCTAATAGAATGATTTTGTCGTATCCAGACTAATATCAATCCAAGACATTTCATGAATAAAATATGACCAATTAACCAACTAACAAAACCGATAAGAGAAAGGAAGAAGAATGCCATCATAGAGGGATCAGCGTGTAAACTTGAAAGGTTAGGGAACTCCTTTAGCTCAATAATGAAAGTTAGGATCGATAGAAGGAGGCCTTACCTCTTAGATGACCCAAGCAAGTCATTAAGCTATTGGATGGATCCTCCTAACTGTAGTTACTTAAGGTCGAGTAGTAGACGGATGAGGTCCACAGTTCTAATAGGTTTTCACTTGAGCTTTCCGCAACAAAGCAAGTCTACAAGCCACTGCAGTGAGGTTATATGTCTGATTTCTTTCTCAATATCTTGACGAATCGGTTCCTCAATTTCTCCTTGATTAGAGCTTCCGCATATTATTTTTGATTTGATCTCTAGCCGTGATTAGCTCTCTTTCCGTTCTTGCGCGCTTGAGGATCTTTGACAGGGCTGATTGATTGACTTTCATTCTTTGTTCTTTGATTGATTGATTCTTTTTCCATTTGATGCAAAGTTCAAAATACATAGTTGTTGAGTATGATCTTCTTTCCTTTCATCAACGTCGTTGCTCTCCAAATCTGCATATAATGAGATGTCATTAGTCAAGGCTTCTTTAGATTATTGAATATTAATAAAATTCTAAACTTAACAACTGGCAATGTAAAATTAAGGTAACAAATTAAGTGAGATTGGTCTTCGATCTTCTCCCACGATTTTCTCTTAGTTCCAACTGATTCCACTCTCCAATCATAAAGTAGCATCTCTACTCTTTAAAATGCTACAAACTAGTTATGTCAAAATGAGAATTGAGATAGGAATTAAGTAGCTAGTTAGTACTTAATACATAGGAGTAAAAATATCAATATTCTTAACGGGTTAATGATTTATTAGATAAGGAAATTGAGTAATCCGCTCCCGAATCGATAAACCATAAATATAAAATTTTAATCTGTTCACAAATCGTGAATCCGATAACTCGATAGCAATAAGCAATTTTGCGGTTCCATTAGTTATCGATTACGGTTTGTTTTTGAACAACCTTACTTAAAAAGCCAATTTGGCTACACGAAACTTTCTACAGTAAATACATATTGACAACTAAAAAATAAGGTAACTAATCTATTAAAATTGCAAGAATATAACGATATCAAAATTAAATTGCATTCTGGTTGAGTCAACCAGGAAGCCTTCAATTCCTTGTTTAATTTCAGTGCAACTGAATATTATGTAAGTTGGTAAGAAATTTATAAGCAGGATTTTTTTTTTCTCTTTTACGCTATGTTATTTTTCTTTGGGAAGTGAAGAATTAGCTGAAAATAAGGGACAATATGGGGAGAAGCAGTTGGTTTAGTTTCAGTACAGTTACTTCAGCACATTCCTCATCAATACTGTAAAAGCGCATTGTGGACCCTTTACGTGTGTGTGCTTCATAAATACAAAACCTTATAACTGCAATAACTTAATATATAGCTCCACAAAATACAATGGTATATATAATATAATATATCAGAATAACAAAAAATCCCAAACCAGAAGTTTGGAAAAAACTAGATCTCTGCTTCTCTATCTATATAAAAACAGTGCAAACACAATAAAATCACAAGGCAAACAGCGACTATCCTCGTGTGCTCACGCAATTGGTTACTGCAGTCAAAAACATCAAGTATCTGATATTGCATTTACCTCTTTTCATGAGTCTCATCTCCTCATTTTTATTCCTCTTCATCTTACCAACTCCACCCCCTCTCTATAGTCTATACCCTTCTTTGTTATCTCCATTTCTCTAGGATTTAAGTTATATATACGGACAGTTTAGTGTAGTTTTATCTGCTGTAACAGAATACTTACAACGTTTTGCACAGGTAAACATTTCATACTTGCTATAGAAAGTTATATATTACTTAATGGATTTTTAAGTCATCTAATAGAAGAGGCGGACCTACCCTTTTGCGTAGGGGGTCATCGGCCCCAGTAACTTAGGAAAGAATATATGATATATGTGTATATATCTTAAATAACAGGTATATATATTTTAATTGGCACCCTAAGATTCAAATCTTAAGTAGATGCATTGGTCGATTTGGATGGCACAACTTGACTTTTAGTGCGCTGTCTGGGTTCAATTCCGACTCTAGCACCTGTCTAAAAGGGTACAAACATTTTGCCGTGACACTATATAGAAATTAAATTCTTTGTAGTATGATTTGCATAGCCAGCCTGTAGTACTGCATAGACTCTTTACTCCACACCAAGAACCTGTTCAAGAATTATAGTAGTATATATTAAAGCTTTCCTTAAGCTTTCTGTGCATGACACAAAACACTAAAAAGGACAAACTAATGAACCCCTTTATAGTTTTGCAGGCTATCATGTAGTGATCATTTGCCTTTGTCCTCGTTTTCAACCATTTCTGGTCTGACATTCAGATATAAGTCTAGTATTTCGCCATTGTTGTTACCATTCTTGGAAGTAAAGATTGTACGTTTTTTCAGTTCAAAAAATGGAGAGTTTGCTATGTGATGAAGTCTGGCTCATGAGTCCTGAAGATCATGACATGCATGTAAATAATGAAGAAGAAGGAGATACTAGTTTTTTCTACTCAACCAAAGAAGATTGTGAACATGCTTTTGAGATATTATTAGAGAAGGAGATGAGTTACATGCCTAAACCAGATTATGTGAAGCGAATAAAAGAAAATTGTTTTATTGAGAATGCTAGGTTCAAAGCTATTTACTGGCTTATTAAGGTAAAATTAAATTTTATTTTTCTTGCATAACGTTTTTGTTTTAATTTTTATTTCTATCTTTGATTATATTAAAAATACTCTACAGTGTCAAAGGAGGTGGAATTTATCTAATGGAACTATATTTGGTGCTGCAAGTTACCTTGATCGTTTTATCTCTTTAAATAAGTGCCAGGTAAGAATACGTTAAATGAAAGTTTTTTTTTTTATAAAAAATATTCCAAAAAGAAAAAAAACATTGAATTGAATTCAGTTGATTAAATTTTATGCTATACCAAATTAAATTTGTAGGGATGGAGATACTGGATGTTCGAGTTACTCTCAATTGCATGTTTGTCTGTTGCCTCCAAATTCCATGAAACAAACCCTCCTCAATTGCTTGAATTACAGGTGAGTAGTCCTCCATCATTTATTATTATTTATTTATTTTGTTTAATCCGGATACTTTCTTTTTTATTCTTTTTTCTAGACGGTTTGTGAAGGGGAACTTGGAGCAACAATAAAGTTGTCTTCATACATGTCACGGGTTTGATCCGTGGAAGCAGCCACTAATGTTTGCATTAGGGTAGGCTGTCTACATCACACCCCTTGGGATGCGGTTCTTTCCCGGACCCTGTGTAACGCGGCATACTTTATGTACCGGGCTGCCCTTCTAAACTGTTTGTATCTTTAGGTTAGATGTTATTTATGTTATCATATTGATAGATTAATTAACAGTTGGTAAGATGATGGCAGATGGAAGGTGTTGAACATTTGTATGAATCAAAAATGATCAAACGTATGGAGTTGACATTGTTGGAGGCTCTAGGGTGGAGATTAAGTTCTACAACACCATATTCGTACATTGAATTGCTTCAATGGAATATCAAGTCCCTCAAATTACCCATCTTTCAAGATTTTACTTCCCGTGTCAAGGAGCTACTTCTTGGAGTTCTTATAGGTATGCAAAAACACTTGGAACCCTTGCTCTCTTTTTTTCCCGATTTAACTTATATGTAATTGATATGAAATCAAACTTCTCTGTAACAACCATCCTTTATAACAGCATTTCAATATAACGACCAAATATTTTTTTGGAACTAATTTTTCATTTTATGTTATAATATATGTTCTCTAGAACATCACATTAATATAATAGCCACAAAATATGAGAACAAACGCGGCTATTATAGAGAGGTTTGAAGGTGCACAGAAGCTAAACTTTGACGAAGAACCAAATTTGATTTGAATATCTGAGTTTTCCTAGCATTAACCACTAAGCCTGTTGACAGATGCTAAATTCTTGGAGTTCAGACCTTGTGTCATTGCACAATCTGCTGTTAACTGCGCTTGTGAAGATTTCTCTCCATTAATAGGTGACTGTTTCAACAATTTTACTAGACTCTTCCCTCAAGATCAAAAGGTAATTAAGTTTAATCACACATAATCTTTTTATTTTTTTCTCAAATAACATAAGAACTTCACTATTCATTTCTCATTAGTTAACTAAAATGATGACTTTTGTTTTGTTTATTCTCATTAGGATGATCTAACCAAGTGTCAAAGAATGATGAATAAACAACTCTTGGTAGAGGAATTTCAAGAAATGGTGACATATGGAGATTTTTATTATGGCCCTTCAAGTCCAGTAACTGTATTGACAATGGAGCAGCATGACTTGTGTGATTGCCAACTTCTTCATCATTGCTATTGCTCTCTCTTCAACATTCCTCAAGGGGATATCAATTTCATATCTAATGTTAAAAAACGTAAAAGGGGTCAACAAGAAGATCCTGATGTCGTCTAAGGTTGTTAGCTACAAAAACTGTAGTAGTAATTTGTATTGTGTTGTACTAATTGATAACTCTTTAAACGCTACTAGCTACAAGTATAGGGAGATTGAGGATCAAGATTAGTATTCGTTCTACTGGCTATTGTGAATCGCATAAACGAGAGAAATCTCTCTGCTAATAGCGAAGCTTTTAGCAAAACTTTTAATATCTCTTACTCCCTCGGTTTCAATTCAGATGACACATTATCGAAAATCAAACTGTGTAAAGTTTGGCCAATATTTTAAAATACTTTTTATCATATTGACATGAAAATAATTAATTAATAACTTACTAGCACTTTTCATATACTTTTTGATTATTTAAATTTACATTTTAAAATACACTACTAGAAATTCAGAAAAAATCGTCCAAAACAAATCGACCAAAGTTGGTCGATAATGGCCAATAACCGTCCAAAACGCGACTATTAACGTGTGGTCGGTATTTTGAAGGTCGAAAGGGCATACCAACCAAAGTTGGTCGGAAATTACCGACCAACTTTGGTTGGTCAATTAAATTCAAAAAACAAAATGCTGAAAAACCCGACCAAAGTTAGTCGGTATTTTAATTATGTAATTAAAAAATGCACCAGCTGGGAATCGAACCGGGGTCTGTACTGTGGCAGGATACTATTCTACCACTAGACCATTGGTGCATTTTAATTTAAGACTGTCTTTTATTTTATTTATACTCTTTAATTGTATTTTCGCACGAAAATAACCGACCAAAGTTGGTCAGTTTTATTAAAAAAAATAAAATTACCAACTGAATTCGGTCGATTTTTTAAAATGACCGGCTGAATTAACCGACCGATTTTGTTCTTTTTTTAAATATTAATTTTAATTTATTTTAAATGAAAAACCGACCAAAGTTGGTCGGTTTCTTGAAAAATAAATTTTACGGGACTCAAAAATAGTTACCCGCATTTTTGTGCCAAAGAAAACCGACCAAAGTTGGTCGGTTTCTTGAAAAATAAATTTTACGGGACTCAAAAATAGTTACCCGCATTTTTGTGCCAAAGAAAACCGACCAAAGTTGGTCGGTTTCGTAAAAATAAATTAAAAAAAATATTTTGAAAAACCGACCAACTTTGGTCGGTTTTTTGGCCGATTTTTTGACCGACCAAAATTGGTCGGTCGACCGTGGTCGGTTTTTGCCGAATTTCTAATAGTGATACTGCATGCATTGAACTAATCCAATTTAGTTTTAAACTTTAGTCAAATTGACTCATATGTCATCTAGATTGGAACATTTGGAGTATTATTTACCAATAAAGAGTTCACTACTAGAAAACTAGCAAAACCCGTCCACAGAATACCGATCGAAATCGGTCGGAAGAAAAAATGACTGAAATCGGTCGAAAAATAGATAAATTAGTCGCAAAAGTCAAAGAAAATATTTCTCACAAAGATACCGATCACCATCGGTCGGAAATAGTGGTTCCACAATAAAGATACCCGGTCAAGCAAGCCTTTACAATTCCTTCTACCCAAATCATCCATGAATAAAGAGAAGAATACATTTCATTAATAAGTCAGTAAGAAGTCAAGTGAATAACACCAGTCCTTTTTACATTAGTCATGTCATTAACAAGTCTTTGAAACAGAACATAGTACAATCGTAGTTAAAGTGGAACAGATGATACGATTACAATATTTTTAATTTAACCTTCCCAAAAATAGATACAACTCACACTATGTCTACGGAGCCTCTAACAGGAACAAAAGAGTGTTATGACAGTGCCGGCAACAAGGCCACGGCTATACCTCAAAATGCTATGTACAAAAGATAAAAGATACAGGACCCCGAAATGAAGTGGGGCTCACCAAATCAGTAGAGGAGAGGATGTGCTGCTATCACTGATCAATACCACCTGCTATGGAACCACCTGCATCCATTAAAGATGCAGCGCCCCCGGCAAAAGGGATGTTAGTACATATGGAATAGTACTAGTATGTAAAACTAAACACCCTCTCAATAGAACAAGCAACAGTAAACGGAGAATAAAATATGAAATCAATAAGAGACTCATACAGTATCAAGGTGTCAGTTAGGGGAAAGGTGAACTTCAAATAGGTTTCAGTAATTTAAGTTGGGAGATCTTTAGCACCGATACACCACCGTGTTTTAGCACGGTGTCCGATCTCATCCCCACCGGCTAAGCTGCCTCACCCCGAGACGTACACTCACAATACCACTATGTGCGCGGCATGGCGTCCGATCTCAGCCCGATCGGCTAAGCCGTCTCACCACAATGCCGTATGGGTCGATATTACATCACATCTCGCTAGCAATAATCTCATACATTTAAGGGAAAACAGTCTCATCACATTAACACGGGGATTTACCCCTCAATCACTCCTACACCGGCACGTGTAGTTTCGGGGTTAGGTGGTTCCGACCTACCCTTTCTCGTTGGCTAAAAGATACTCCCAAGGCATTTATCATTAAAAGTATTTACCACTCAATTCATATTCTTTTACATGTCATTCATCTTATTGGCACCATTGGCCATACGCAATACCATTCTTGGCACGTTGGCCATACATCATAATTCATGCTCACTATTTCACTTTCAATCATCATCATGGATAATCAACAATAAGGCCTTTCAAATTAAGACTTTAAATACATACTTGAGCAGTTTAGGGTCTTAGGCACATGTGACTTCTTACACAATTGACATGATAGCTTTCATAAAAAAAATATGCTTTTAAATCATAACATAACAACACACAACCCATGCTTAAACCACATTCTCAAACATTAACTCAACATAACAAGAATCGTTGGAATACATATTGAACGCATAATTACTTTGACATGAGGCTTATTTGACAAAAAATCAATTCATAAAGAGCATCAAGAGACTTACAAGGACATTGTGGGGTTCAATTCTAAGAGAAGAGTTTAGCCAACATACCTCACCTCGAGCTTTTTAAATTACTACAATATTCCAGAATTCTTAGCCTCGCCGATCTATTTAGAAATATAGCAAAATTGAACACAAGTTAGGAATGAGTTCATAGTTTCAGCTCACTTGAGCATTTTATCAAACAATAGGTGTGCATTAAGGTTTCAAGGTCCTCCTATGGTGGATTCTTTCACCCCACTACCCAAAGTTCACCCAAAAGAGCTCAACAATCTACCCAATACCCTAGATGGTATATTCATGTAAAATAAACAACTCCCACACCCAAGAATTGCTTTACTAATTATCTATTTTTAGTTAAATTCCGAAATTAAGGGTTATGGTGTAGAATATTACTTTTTGGTTGAAGACCTTGTGAGTTACCCTAGAGAAATATTTAAGGTTTGAATAAAGATTGATGAACAAATGACTTAGAACTTCTCTTCTCACTCTAGACCACATTCCTCTCTCTCTCAAATGTAAGTTTGAACCATATAAAATGACCCTTAATATTATTTTATAAAAATGGGGTCAGATTTATAAAACCAAAAAAATGAAGCTCCAAAACACAATCTGTGGTCGCAGAGTGACCGCAAAACAGATATGCGGTCTGCAAATCGGCCGCACAATTGGCCCTTCGGAACTGGGCAAAGCTGCCCGACTCTGCGACCAGTCTGCAGTCGCATAATGCACCGCAGAACTTCCCTCCGAACATTTTTATGCTGGGTCCGCGATCGATGTGCGGCCCGCGAAACGGTTGTGCGATCGCATAGTTGACCGCACAATAACAGCCAGACTTGCCCAGTTTTTTGCTTCACTCTGCGGCCCACAGAGTGATTCTACGGCTGCATAGTGGGCCGTAGAAATGTCTTTTTCTGCCAAAAATTTTTCTTTACTCTCGAGCGCACTATTCAACCCAAAAAGTTTATACCGCGGCCAACACATAAGCTTACTTCGTCACCACGAAAACCCCGGATTTTATTCAAAATTTTACTGGGCCTTACATTATAGAACTATACACTTTATTTTTAAATATATTATAGTAAGTTTTAATCGAATATAATTAAATTTCCAATTGATCTACTGATGAAGTATCCGAGCAAAATACTAATAAAGTGATCGAGAATAAAACATTCAAGACTATGTTGATTGTACGCATCTTTGATCATCTAGTCACTCATTATACCGGAGCATGTAGTCACTTAAACTTCAAGATTTGTTTTCCAAATATAATTGATCGAGTTTAATATAATATAATTGATCATCTAGTCACTTATTAATATAATTGATCGGGTTTAATTGAAATANGAGAGAGAGAGAGAGAGAGGGGATATATATAGTCCTTAATTAAAATTAATTTTGACTATTTCACTAAATACCGACCGACTTCGGTTGGTTATTTTAATAAAAAATAATTTAAAAAAATCAGATTTCCGACCGAATTTGACCGGTAAATTTATGGTCAAACGGTCAATTTTTCACTTAAATGTACGGACCGCCATTTCCGACCGAAGTCGGTCGGAAATCTGCAAATTAGAGCCCACTAACGGGCTTTCTTTCCCATTTTTCAATTTTCTATCTCTCATTCTCTCCTCCACCCTCTTCAACCCTAAGGCGATTTCGCCCAAATCCCATCCAAAATCTATTCCTACTTTCATTCTCCCCCAAAATCAAAGTCCAAAGTCATCCTCATTACCTTCTTTGCCCAAATCCCCAATCCCGCTGCCTCACCACCGCTGCCCTCATCCATCACTGCCTCGCCGTTGCTGCCGTCGCTGCTTCTTCCACCACCTTCCTCCCTTCTCACCACTGCTCAATCGCCGCTACTTCTACCACGTGAAGGTTAGTCATCTAGTTTTTTGAAGCTACTTTAATTCTTAAAATTTAAGGTTTAATTTATTATTCTATTTTTGTTTATTGCTTTTAGAAAATTAGGGTTTATTAATTTAGGATTTAATTTATTGTTCTATTTTTGTTTATTTCTTTTAGAAATAAGTTATTAATTTAGGGTTTAATTTATTGTTCTATTTTTGTTTATTGCTTTTAGAATTTTAGGGTTTATTA